CTGAGAGAAAGAATGAAAGAAAGCTGGGGAGGAGGGAGGAAAAAAAATAAAAACAAAGAGAAACAAAAAGGAAAGAATAAAAGAAAGGGAAATTAAAAGAAAATGAAAGAAATGAGGCAAGTATAAAGATAAAGAAAAAACTAGGAAAAATTATTGAAAGAAAAATGAAAGGTAAGAATAAAAGAGAAAGAATAGAAGGAAAAAGAAGTAGAGAGTCAAATATAAGTAAAGATGGATGGATGGATGGATGGATGGATGGATGAATGGGTGGATGAAAAGAAAGGAAGAAAAGGAAGGAAGGAGGAAGGAAAGAGAAAATAAAAATAAAAAACTTTCACGGCCGAATACATTTCAACTATACAAAGAATCATAAGTCCTAAGGATGACTTCCAGTCTAACCTACCTTCTCTCATACTTTTTGTTTCACTGGAAACTTGCTGATGATTTGAACTGCCTTCAAAACAATATCCACCATAAATAACACTATGGCCAAAAATTGGCTTTCTGCTAGACCAGAAAATTGTACCCTATACGATTCTTTTAAAGTACAGTACATTGCCTTAACAGAATTTGACTCAGAATATGTAAAATTTAAAGAGACAAATGAGCTACCAGTCCCTTCGTAATTTAACATTTTAAAAAGGAAAGGTGTTTGTATTTTAATACAAAAATGTACTTCAAAGGAAATTACAGTAACTTGGGAAAAGGCTAACATCCTCAGTGCTGTTTGGTAGAATTCTGTTTTTTTTCCACAGACACCTGAGGAACACTGTCTTTTGTGTGTGTTGCTGTTTGAGGCCAGAGAGTCAAAGATAAAGAGAAGCAGAAGGTGGACGCCACTGCAGTCGGCTCTTCGTCTCAGTGAGTGTGATTTAAGTTACAGATATGAGTTTCCTAGGAAGGGAAACGGGTGACACGTTGTTGAACATCAAAAGGAACAATTATGAAATGGAGAACCAATGCATTTCTCCAAATGCCCTGACATACAGAAAAGACCCTCTTTCCCATGATTTACATGTACTCTCTTGTTCTTACATTCAGGAGGCAGGATTTCAGTCCCATGATTCTATATGATCCTATAACAGTAAAAAAAAAAAAAAAAATCCCTTTGACCTAATTAACTGGTTATTGCTTTAATTTTCTATTTTACTTTGGCAATGGGGACCTTGCTTCATTCTGTTAATTTACTTTGGATGGCAATCTACTATACTAGCTTAGCTGTTTAGAATTTGTGCCAATGAGCCACTTTCATCCATTTGTTCAATGAATATTTATTGAGCTACCTGCCCACCCAAAACTGTTTTAAATGTTGGGCATAAGCATAAACAATACAGATTTAAAAACAAAAACAAACCCCTTTCATCACAGAATGTGCACTCTAGTGGGAGGATAGGAGGGGACAGAAATCAACAATGAATCAATTGGTACGATAATATATGGTACGTTGTGTTAGGTAGTAATAAGTGCTATGTAGGAAAATAAAACAGGCTAGAGAGGGCAGGTAGTAGAGGTGCCTTAATTTTAGGTAGAACGATAAGGACTTCCAGTAAGATGGTCTCTCTGAGAAAACACTTGAGCAAAGACCTGAAAGAGTTAAGGAGTGAGCCATGGGCATACCGGAGGGACCTCTGCAGGCAAAGGGGTCATGCCTGCGGACAAACATTTGGGATGCATGGATGAAACAGCATGAGTGAGCAGGAGAGCTCAGAGAGGTCGGGGGCCAGATCTTGGCTCTAACTGTGAGTGAGATGAAAAGAAAAGCAGCCGCCGAGGACTTGAGCAGAGGGGCATGATCCGCATTTCACATGAGCCCATTGGCTGCTGGGTGGAGAAGAGCATGTTCAAGGGCAAGGGCAGGGCAGAGTGAGCCCTGAGAGGCTCTGCCCGTCCACACAAGAGATGATGACGTGCATCGTGACAGCAGCCGTGCAGGAAGTATAATGCAGATTCCGGAATGACAGAATTTGTTCATGGACTGGATGAAAGGGAGGAGTCAGGAGATTCCAACATGCGTCTGGTTATCTCCATTTGACTCTATATTCAAATAAATCTCCAATGCCCACTGCAACCCTCTTCTTTTCTATTTCCTATCACCCCAGGTCTGGTTGTGTCTATAGCTAATATGTTAATACAAGTTGTCTGCCACTAGGACTTACAGAATCTATTGTGATTTTCCCCTTTACATGAGTTGAGAGGGAACCCAGGCTGAGTTTAAGACTGTAATAGTAACCAGATTTTTGTTGCATTTGTTTCTTCCTCCTTCTCTTTGGTTTCTAGGATTTTGCTTGTGTTTTCCTGGCCTGATTATGTATTAGCCTTTGTTGTTCCTTTTGAACTGCTGGGGAAGCATATAGTGGAAGGGAGGAAGAGAGAGAGGAAGGGAAGGAGGAATGGATGGATGAATAGAGGCAGAGATAGGGAGAGAGAGAGAGAGAGAGAGAGAGAGAGAGAGAGAGAGAGAGAGAGAGAGAGGGAGAAAGAATATGAAACGGCCAAATAATTAATAGATAACTTGCTTAAAAAGTAAAGAAATAAATGCAAAAACACAGTCACTGGGCACACGGAGTGAAAGAGTGTGATGGATCAGAATAGATTCTTCACCCCTCCCAGAACTATCAAAAAAAGTTAAGATACTCATCGACATTTAAGAAGTAGTGTGTCCTCAAGTTGATGACTAATAAAGCCTAAGGTCACAGCTTTAATTTATTTTACAGCACAGGACAAAAGGGAAGTAGGGGAGAATAAAATTTAAAAGACTAAGAAGAAAACCTAAGTTCAGTGTGTGCTGATTCAGAAAAGAATTAAACTGTTTTCTAACTTCCAGAAGGAAGACAACATTCTAAATTTATTGTTTTAAAAAGATAGTGATATAGGATAAATAGTAACACCAGTATGAGAATTTAGGATATGTTAAGTTCATCACCTTGAGACCAGATTTATTTATATATTCACGCTCCATCTCCTTGCATAACGGCCTTTAAGAATGTATATAATAGCTTGGCCAGTGTGGCTGCGTGATTGAGCACTGACCCATGAACCAGGAGGTCATGGTTCGATTACTGGTCAGGCACGTGCCCAGGTTGTGGGCTTGATCCTCAGTGGGGAATACCTGTAAGAGGCAGCCAATCAATGATTCTCTCTCACCATTGATGTTTCTGTTTCTCTCTCCCTCTCCCTTCCCCTCTCTGAAATTAATAAAAACATATTTTTTTAAAAGAATGTATATAATAGAAAAGGAGAAAAGGAAGAGTAGAAAAGATCAGAGTGAAAAGAAAAAATACATAAGAAAATAAAGCCAAGGATAAAATTAATGCACCCCACTGAGCCCCCCAAATAAGAATGAAAAATAAATGCAAGCATAAAATTTTGCTGAATCACTAGAGATAGTCTTCAAACTTAATTTTTGAGCTTGCTACCAACTAAAGCAAAGAGGAAATTAAGATCATGAATAAAAACCTAGTTTCTATAAGATAAAAACAAACCAGCAGTATTATGGAAGCTAAGACCAAAATCTAAAGAAAATGTATTCTGTGGCCCTGGCCGGTTTGGCTCAGTGGATAGAGCGTCGGCCTGCGGACTCAAGGGTCCCAGGTTCGATTCCGGTCAAGGGCATGTACCTTGGTTGCGGGCACATCCCCAGTGGGGAGTGTGCAGGAGGCGGCTGATAGATGTTTCTCTCTCATCGATGTTTCTAACTATCCCTCTCCCTTCCTCTCTGTAAAAAATCAATAAAATATATTTTTAAAAAAAGAAAGAAAATGTATTCTGTGGAGCCATAAAACAAGATCTTAACACTGTTCATTCAACAAAGCCAATAATACAGGCAGTTTCTTCCTTTGTTCTTAATGCATTACTCATCTTTTCTCCTTCTTAAGCAAAACATTACTATTAATTCTGGTGATTTTTACTTCATAGTACTTTTTTTATAACAATTACAAATGTACAGTAAAATGGTCCTTGCCAGCATGGCAACAGTTTAACCTGGCTGTTACCCTGCACAGGCCAGCTAATGGGATAAAAACACAACAACAGTTTCTAGGGGTAATTTCCACAGATAGTTAATGTAAAACAATGACATTTTTGCAACTTCTGCCATCTGACCTCTGTCAAGCAAGTTTTCTGGGAACAAATCCATCTAAGATTCTGCTGTGATTAGGACCAAATGCACTGGATGAAAACCTTCTGATTGGGGCCAAAGCCAAGATGATGGGTTCTGCTGTGGGTGTTCTTGAAATTGGACACCATCCTCAGTATCAATATGGCCACCTAATACAGCTCTCACTTGCTCAGCCCTAACAACTGTGCTGAACCCTGAGCTCATTTGCAATCTAAATGCAGGTGTAGGATGGTAATCAGGGCATTGTGCTAATTTAGGTATTGTGTTTTAGGGGAAACAAAAGCCATGTTAATATTTTATTCATCTTCAAATTAACTACAAATTGTGCCTCCTTATATAGCTCCTCCTCAGGCAAAGGAGGAAATAAGCTCCAGTTATTAAAATTAATGTATACTAATTAAAAGGAAGAATTTGTTTCTGGCACCTGCTTCATGGCAAAGAATTATAATCAATGGCAAAATTGCCTTGGAATGCAAGTTTTCATTTCCTTCCCCTGGGTGGTATGTGAGGTTCACTGTCAGCCCCTCAAAAGTCCCCTCTTCCTCTTCTCTTGCTCCTGGCCCTGTCATTCTTGTACCTGTGCAGACATGTCAGTAGACCTGATCACTTTCACTTCTGCTGGGGAAATTACAACACGCTTCTTTAAATGGTAGAGAAAAGGGGGAAATTAGATCTGATACCAAATCATTAGACTTTGGAGGGTCAGTAATCTGTCAAGCTCAGCAGGGCCATTGAATGCATGAATGAAGCAGAAAGAAAAAAAAAGAGTCAGAAAGGAAACAGGGGAAGAAAGAAGAGAAAGAGGTAAGGACAGAAACAAATTGTTGAGTGTGAATATTCCTCCATTCATCTATTGTACAAATCCTTGTTGAGCATCAGAAAATACCTGGCACCAGACTTTATTTCACATATTAACATCCACTAGGGTCTGACTCTGAGAATATCTGCTGATTCAGTAGCTCTGAGCTGAACCAGGAAATTCACCAAAATTCGGAGAGTCCGGGTATTCATGAGAGTCGGTCTGAAAAAAGTCTAAAATCCTCTGATCTGATTTTTTCTCCTCTTCAGACATTGCCTGATTCATATTCAAAGTAAAGGGATCAGGAGCCAGGAGTGGCAGCTATTTCTTCGTTAAGCGTCGTGCAGTTGGTTTCTTCTGGAAAAAGCAGTCCGTGTCACTTCCAAGTGAAATTTCACTCTTCTGTTGCTCTCAGAGCGGTAGCCCAGACAGGGGCCAGCTTCCAGAAGGACTGCTGGGGAAGATGCAGATATTAACTTAGAAAAGGACTTAATGAATGCCTAGAGAGAGAGGGGGAGGGAGGGAGGGAGAGAGAGAGAGAGAGAGAGAGAGAGAGAGAGAGAGAGAGAGAGAGAGAGAGAGAGAGAGATCACAGTTCCTGCCCTCCTGTGGCTTCAATGTGGTTCTAACTGTAACTTCATAGTGAGAATTTTCATCTGTGTGGCTCCTTCCCCAAGGAAACAAAGAAGACTTTTCAGAAGTTGTTTCATGAAAATGTCGTCAGGGTGGGTGGTATTTTTATTACCATTCTACAGCTGGGTAAAGTGAGTTCTAAGGAAGTCAAGTTACTTGCTAAAGGTCACCCAGAGGTGAGAGCATCAGGAAAAAAAAATGATCACAGGACTGATGTCATGCGCTGGGTAGTTTAAGCTGAACAGGAAGAAAACATTTGTGTGAGTGTGGGCTTTTGGAAAAGGAAAGGTGTTGCTCTGAGCTTCTCAGGTTCATTTATTCAGCGAGTAAGTGCCAGGCACCCTTCTAGGCAGTGAGGATACAGCCAGCAGTGAACAAAACAACACTCACAGGGCGCTTCCATCTAGGTAAGAGAGCCAGACAGTGCTCTTTAAAATGTATATGTGACGTGCTAGGAGAAAAGTGCCATGAAGAAGATGAAAACCAAGTGAGGAGATGGGGAGCAGCGGGGCGTGGGAGTGGGGGCGCTGTTTTAGATGCAGTGGGTGGAGTGGGAGCTTCTCTGAGGAGCTGGCATTTGAGCAAGGATCTGAATAAAGTGAAGGACAAGGGCTGTGGCTATCAGGCAGGGGAGCAGCAGGAAGAGAGGCCTTGATGTAGCTGCTTGGCAAGTTTGAGGAACAGCAGGAAGACCAGTGTGGCTGGAGCAAGGAGAGACTTGACAGCCCCTGGGAGAAGCCGGCCAGCAAGGCAGTCAGGGACCGGGGTGTGGACTTTGGCTTTGACTCTGAGTCAGTTGGGAAACTATGGAGGGTTTTAAGCCAGGGATTGCTAAGACCCGGCTCAGTTTTAACACGATCCCTCTGGCTGGTGTGCGAAGAAAAAGACTGAATAGGGCAAGTCAGGAAGCTGCTGCAATTGTCTAAATGAGAGACGGTGAAAACCCGGGTAGGTGCAGTGGTGGCGATGGTGCAAAGGGGTCATCTTCAGCATGTATTCTGAATGTGAAGTCAGGATTTGCTGAAGGATTGGATATGGGGTGTGAGAGAAAGAGAGAGGCTTACAGATCAGATAATTTAGCTGAGCTGTAAGCCCCTTACAACTTCATATTCCAACATACCCACGAGGACCAAGGAAAACAGCCTTTTCATGGACACTTGGCCTTTTGGCCTACACGAGATGCTGTGTGTTTAGTCCTGGGTCCACCCATTACCACCTGAGAGATGTGGCCCCGTGAGTGGTCCCCTCTACTCTTCAGTATCTTTGCTATGAATTCTGAGTGATTATTTTTGCTCTACCTACCTCAAAAGGTTGTGTTGAATACAGCTCTGAAGTTCAGCCAGTGCATGCATAAGGGTTATTAGCTACATCATCGACACCATCGGAGTTAACTCTCTGAGTCAGTTGAGTTGTCTTTGGGGGATCATTCATAGGTTCCAGGAAGCTCCCCTGCCTAAAAGGCTCCCTCCAACGGCCTGTCATGATGAAAGAATTTCACAATTAGCCCGATTCCTTTCTGTTAAGGCATTGCGGACCCCACACATCCTCCATTAAAATAGAAATGAACTCCAGTCACTGTCAATCATTGGTCATTTTAGGTGAATTTCTATATCAGATCGTGTCTCTATCATTCTAGCTGGCTTAAGTTTGGGGGAAAGAAAGAATCAATATGGGCAGAGAATGCAACAGTTGGGGAGAGGCTGCTGAATATGCTGTGGACAGACTGAGAATGTCCCTTGGGGAGGAGCCTCCAAAAATAAACTCGGTCTATGGTGCAGTATTGTCCAAGTTTGCTTCATGTCATCATGTTTCTCTCATCGAATAAAAATGAAGTCCTCGAAGGGCACCTCCTTGAAGTAGTTGTAACAAGTAGCTGCAGAAGACAAATTCCCATGGAACAAACATTGAATCTGTAAATTGGATGCTTTAATAGCCCTTTTGACTTGCTCTGCTTAAACAAACTGGTCCCCAAGCATCTCACACTTCTCCAATTCTGGGTACCCCTGTTTTATCTCCAGCATTTAAAGAGTCCCTTTCCCCTAAATATTTCTGGAAATGCCAAGGAGTGTTGACGTCACTCAAGGGTTCAGAAATAATTCTGTTGAGTGTCCCCACTGTGGTGGGAATCCACAGACCGGAGCTCTGATGCTGCCACAAAGAGGCCCCTGGGGACTAGAAGTCTGTCCTCCTCCCTGTTGCTGTTATGGTGACCACGTGACCACCACCTGAAATCCTGCAGGCCCAATGCTGGTGAATTGGGAATAACCCAGTTGCCTAAGCCAGAAGCCCTTTTCCCCACTCAGGAAAGCGAGAGGAGAATGCTTGGGGTTAAGAGTCCCACAGCAAATTTGCTCAACCTCAGGCGTTAGTGGCTCATGGTAGGGCTTTCGCTTTGGAGGGTGGTGAGCCAAGCAGTGAAGTAGTCACAGCAGACCCTGACAGCTTTACAGATAGATGTACTGTGTCTCCACGGTTGAAACTCTGCTGCTGTCATCTTTGCAGCTAACCATCACCACCTCTGACACAGTCATCTCCATGCCCCCTGTAACAGAACTGTGATTCAAAGCCAGGGGATTTAATTGCTGCAGTTCACTGCGCCAGAGGCCCCACTACAACGTTGTGTTACTGCTCTTATAGGATTATTATTCTTCAAAATGCCACCCACTGTGCCTTGCTCCAAGGCTGCAAATGTGCCCCAGGGCACCTGAGTCAGGACAGGTTCTGGTATGAGCAGAGGGACTACCCCACTCTCCACTAACTTCAACCTTTATTATGGGAATTACAGTGCCATTTCCTCTTCCCTCGAGGCACCCTTTCCTGTATCTGTCCTGCTTTTGGAGCCCCCTCGTTTCACAGACATAGGTTTGTCAGGCCTGGGTGGGCTGAGTTCCAGTCCTCTCTCTGGGGGTTTCTAAGCCTTCCTGTTGAAAATCAGTAGGTGAAAATAAATGCACTGGGGAAGACTGTGGGCTACCTCCACTTCCAGACGCTCCAGAGCCACAGTTCCTGCCCAGACCTGGCACCCCGTTGTCCTAAACCACATCTGAACCTTTCCATCTTCTCCCATGAAGGGATGCAAGCAGTACCTCCCATGAAGCCACAAAGACTAAAACCTCCTTTTTCCTCTCCTCCCCTCATCTCTGCTCAAATAACGTTGTACACGATTGAACTCAAGACACTGTTATCCGGTACTGATGGTTAACTGGGAGTTCCTCAGTGGAAATCAGAGTTCCTTACAAGTTCAAAGTGCAGATATGTTTTTGGTGGTTGTATATAATGCTCAACACTCCCACACAGGGTGGGACCTTGCTGAGGAGTCAGGCTGTGAAATATAGGCTAGTGAGAGGGGAATGCTTGGGGTTAAGAGTCCACAGCAAATTTGCTCAACCTCAGGCGTTAGTGGCTCATGGTAGGGCTTTGTAGCTAAGCATCTTTCCTTAAAATGACGTGCACTGTGAAACTTTTCTTCTCATAAAAGTAATTCATCTTCATTAGAGAAAGTAGAAAAGTACAGAAAAGTATGTTGAAGAAAATAACTATCACCCACTTCCCAGAGATAGTCATGGTTAATATTTCCATGCATTTCCTGTGACATAATTTAGCATAAATTAATATATTTTAGAAAACATACTCCAACATACAAGCATGAAATACATAAAGATATATTCTTAAAAGATAGTATTATTATGTATAATTTCTATACACATACAATTTATGCATACATATGTATGTATATATATAAATAAGTATGTATTACTAATAAGTATAATAAAATATACTTACTTTATGTAAAATAAAATTATTCTTTTATTGTGAGCATTTTCCCTAGTAATTAGAAAACCATGATTTTTGATGGCAGCATTCCATCTTATGGATGCAACAGTATTTATTTAACATTCTTTTATTGGTTGATATTAAGGGGGTTTCTAATTTTTTATTATCACGCACTCTCTTATGGTTAATGGGGTAGGACATATTCTTAGAAGCAGAATTTCTTTCTCGAGGGATAGATATTTGGCACTTGGGATCTCTGCAGCCCAAATGACTTCAGACAGTTTGTTCTGGTTTAGTGCCCACCAGGTTCTAAGCATGGACAGTGCTGCAGAGAAGGCAAATACCGTTACATACAGCTCAACTTTTGTTTCTAATTTGCTTTCTGTGGTTTCAGTTACCTTTGGTCAATTGCAGTCTGAAAATATTAAATGGAAAGTTCCAGAAATAAACAATTCAGAAGCTTTAAAGAGTGCACTGTTCTGAGTACCTCACTTCACCTCATCACATAGGCTTTGTATTATCTCACATTATCACAGGAAGATTGGTAGTACAGCACAATAAGGTATTTTGAAAGAGAGAGATCGCATTCACATAACTTTTTTTAAAAAAGTATATTGTTATAATTGTTCTATTAGTAATTGTTGTTAATCTCTCATTGTGCCCAATTTATAAATTGAATTGTGTCATAGGTATGGATATATAGGAAAAAACATCATATATATGATTTGGTACTATCCATGGTTTCAGGCATCCCCTGGGGGTCTTGGAATATATCCCCTGAGGTTAAGGGCCCCCTGTATTAACTCTGTATTAACTCCTGTATTAACTCTGCCTTAAAGTGGATACATTACCTTGTCAAATCACTTAAATTTTTCCTGCCTCAGTTTACATATCTGGAAAAGTCGATGTTGTAAACTGTAAATTACTATACAGGAATGAGGTATTACTTTAACCATAAAATGTACTTAGCAAGCTAAATGAACTAATTGGTTTGCTGGCATCAGGCTGCTGGTTTTGGTTTCTGCATCCATCGTTCATTACTTATTGTTATGTAACTGGGGCAAGTTACTTCTCTTTTCCTCATTTATAAAATGGATAACAAAAGCCCTTACCTCATAGGTGAGGATTAGATAAACCATACATTTAAAATATGTAGCACATATCGATTGCTATTATTTTAATTGTTAGCTATATTAAGCATTATATTTAGACTCAGGGTGAAGCTATTTAGAAGCCATTGGCTTCCTGTTGAATGTTCTTAAAGCCCTGGCTGTATGAGTGTGTCTATATCATGCAGTTACAATATTCATCAAAACACCAAATAACTAATTTAAAATGCCAAATCAGATTTGTAAAGTCAGTGTTTTTCTGGAATGTGTGCCCTGAAGTTATAAGTTCCACAGTGTGCCTGGGGCCTTTGGTGGGGAAGCAGGTGGTGATCACAATGGTAAAGGGTAGTGGCAGTTTCAAGACCCCCAAGCACATAGCAAACATTGCTAGCTGATAAACAAAGCCCATTTCTTATTCTTGGAGCCACAACCAGACCTCATTTCCCAGGCCCCATGCCATTAGGTGTTACCGAGTGACACTGTGGGCCATAGTCTCTGCCGCAACCATCCAGCTCAGCCACTGCTGCATGAAGCTGACACAGGCAACACACAAAAAATGTGTGTGCTGCATTCCATCAACACCTTACAAAACGTTGCTGTAGTTTGTCAACTCCTGGACTAGAGCATGGTGAGCAAGGGAGAGCTGTGCCATGTGGTTGGAAAGGCAGAAACTGCCCCAGAGGAAGGGCCTTGTGGACTCTGGCGTGAAGTTTGCTTTTTATCCAAAGAGCAGGAGGGAAGCAAGCGTGTGACCTGATATACACAAGCCCAGGCCTCAGTGGATTGGCATTTCAGCTTTCAGTCACCACGTAAACCACTGGTCCCATTATATCACCTCCTCTGAACTCTCCTCTGAGACAGTCCAAAGCAAGCTCCTAACTGAGATGGTGTCTTTAGAGAAAGACCAGCAGGCAGACCCCAGGGGCTTCCTGAGGGGGCTTTGATAGCCTTGGTGAATTTGTCAAGGCTGTAACGGGAATCCACAGGCAGGATCCGAGCCTGAATCTGCAGTGCACCATCCTCTCTTCCTGTCAGACTTACACCAAGTTCAGGCGACAGCTCAGTAACTGTCAATGAAAACGTAGCTGCCACTCCGAGCCGCCTAGTCCGCCCCCACAGATGTTCCCACATTGGAATAACAATGGCAATAATCATAATGGTTAGTATTTATTAACCATAACTTTGAGCCAAGCATATTTAAAGCACTTTATATGATGATCTGCTTATATCCTCACAAGCCTTTCAGGTAGGCCCGGGGTTAAGCCCCTTTGACAGTGGAAGTCAGGGGCCATGTGCCTTGTAAGATGAGCGGTGCGGCCAGGGAACTGAACCCACCTGGCGTGAGCAGAGTCTGGCACTGACCCGCTCCAACATGGTGCCCCATAGAAGGCAGACACGTCCCAAAGGCTGCTGGTGGACACTGAACCTGTGGGGGAAAGCAAGGGCAGGAAATCCGATCTTCAGGTTGTGAGGGTAACGTGGCCTGATGCATCCAGCTATAGAAGAACTCTGTTGCCGACAGGTTCTCAGCTTGCAGAGTTCTGTGTCTCAACGCTCCATCCACCTCCTCACTGGCCAGCGCCTTCCCACCGGGACAGGGATGCCCCGATCCCGTGATCTCCTGGATGGAGCTGGAGGGAGCGTGCTGAGGTTTCTATTGCCAACTCTTTTTTTCTCTCTGCATCTTGTCTTTCTGCCTTTCTGCCCCTTTACGGTAACTTCGCATCCATGCTGTGTGAACTTCATAGTTAAACTCTGAGGGTAATTCCCTCCGCCCCACCCCACCAGAAGGGCAGTCCCAACGTGACTAATCGTGTTCACCCAGTAAGAAGCAAAGTGCTTCAGATCTTTATTTATACCTTCACTTAAAAAAAAAAAAAAAAGCGCCATATCTGGGATGAAATGGTACGGACACAGTGTGTCACTCTCCGTAATGAAAATCCTAGCCTCTCCTGGTGCAGACCACGGGTCCTCGTTGAGGATCGGGAATGTTCCACCTGCCCAGGTGTGCTCAGGAGCTCACTGAGGACAGGCTTCGCTCCTGAGCTCCTTTAAAAGACAGCATAACTGATGGAAAAGATAAGCAAGACAAAGTCCATATAATTACTATGAATTATATTCTCATGAGCAAATCAAATCCTACAGCCACTGACACTGATGCTCCACCCCTCCCCCCCCCCCAACCACCACCCCAGTAAACTAGGCCAAAGCACATTTATAGAGAAGAGAGCAGACCCTGTTGGTGGAGCCTTCCCCACTGGAGACGCTGGGGAGGAGGCCGTCACGCAGCAGGGCCCTGAGCCCGGGACTTAGCCCCAGATTTCCAGCTGTTCGGTGTCCTGCAAGAGCTCAGACGCTTCTCAAGATGACTAACTTGTGCCTCTGAGACAGGATTTGACCCACTAATTAGTGTACCGTCAGTTTTAATAAGAACTTTTTTTTTTTTTTCAAATTGCCGCTGTGATGAGCTGATGAATTATCATGTGAGGTTTAAAAATTAGTCAAAGGAGTTTTGACAAGCAAATTCTTTAAACTCAGCCTTCCCTTGGCCTCTAACTATTCTTGACCCTAGTCTGCATGAACTTTTATTTCTCACCTAGAATGGAACATGTGTTTTTTTATAAAAGAAGTATTAATGGCATAACTCCTGTGCTTTATTATTTTAGTTGATTTGTATCAATGTATCAACATTCCAAAGAAAACAGAGAGCATAACGTTGGTTTTTAATAACTTTTGTCTTTTTTTATTATTACCATTGACATATATATAATTCACATGACATAAACTCCTCCATTTTAAAAAGTACAATTCAGCCCTAACTGGTTTGGCTCAGTGAATAGAGCGTCAACCTGCGGATTGAAGGTTCCCAGGTTCGATTCCAGTCAAGGGCATGTACCTTGGTTGCGGGCACATCCCCAGTAGGGAGTGTGCAGGAGGCAGCTGATCGATGTTTCTCTCATCGATGTTTCTAACTCTCTATCCCTCTCCCCTCCTCTCTGTGAAAAATCAATAAAATATATTTTTTTAAAAAAAGTACAATTCAGTGGGCTTTAGTATATTCTTGATTTTGTACAGTCATCCCCACGATCTAATTCCAGAGCATTTCTATCACCCCCAAAATAAACCCTGCACTTCTTTGCAGTCACTCCCGTTCCCCTTCTTCCCAGACCCCCTGGCAGCCACTAATCAACTTTTGGCTTATGGATTTGCCTGTTCTGGACCTTTCCTAGAAATGGAGTTATACACTATGTGGCCTTTCGTATCTGTCTTCTTTCACTTAGCATAATGTGTCAAAAGCTCATCTGTATGGTGGAATGTATCAATCAGTTCTTCAAGCCCTTTCATAGCTGAATGATACTCTATTGTATGCATATACCACATTGTGTTTACCTGTCTATCAGTTTGTGGACATTTAGGTGGTTTCTACTTTTTGGCTATTATGAGTAATGGTATTATAAACATTCATGTATAAGTATTCGTGTGGACAGATGTCTTTATTTCTCCTGGGTAGATACCCAGGAGTGGAATTGCTGGGTCATATGGCAACTCTATGTTTAACTTTTTGAGGAAGTGCCACAGTGGCTGCACCGTTTTACGACTGTCAGCAATATACGAGTTATCGTTTCTCCACGTCCTTAACAACACTGTTATTTTCTTTTTTTTTTTTTTATTAGAGCCATCCTTGTGGGTATGGAGTGACAGTTCATGTGTTTTTGCATTTCCCTAATAAGTAATGAGGTTGAGCACCTTTTCATGTGCTTATTGGCCATTTGTGTGTCTTTAGAGAACTTTCTATTCACGTCATTTGCCCATCTTGTTTTGAAAACATAAGGTTGGCTTTTAGTATCAAGTTGTGAAAGTTCTTTGTATGTTCTGGATCAATACCCTTATCAGATGTATAATTTGCAAATATTTCATTCTGTGGGCTGTCTTTTCATTTTCTTCCTAATGTCCTTTGAAATAGAAAAGTCTTCATTTTGATACAATCCAGGTTATCAATTTTTTCCTTGTTTGCCTGTGCTTTTGGTGGCTGCCTAATCCACAGTTATAGAGATATACACTTATGTGTTCTTCTGGTATTATATAGTTTTACCTCTTATATCTAACTCTTTGATCCATTTTGAGTAATTTTTTGTACATGATGTGAGGCAAGAATCCAACTTCATTCTTTTGCATATGACTATCCCGTTGTCCCAGCACCATTTTGGGGGAAGATTATCTGTACTTTAAGAAAATTCCCAAATTATTTGATTGGCAGCTCAGTTGGAAACCAACAACAAGGGGTGGCCAAATAAAACACTATGGAGGGTCAAAGCAGGGAAGACTGTGGTGAAATTTCATACTTGGGAGGGAAAGCTAGGAAAAGCAAGAGAAAGCTGGTTACTAGTAAAGATGAGGGGAAAGGAAAAACAAGCTGCTGGTTGTCTAATGGAAAAGGAGAACTGAACAAGCAATGAACACCACTCCAGCCACTCCCACCTTGCACCACAGCCGGTCTTGGCTATGACTACGTTGCATACCCTGCAATGACATGTACCTTCCACCAAGTCCGCGTCACACCTGACATCTATTTCAGAATATCCTATGGGCAAAAGAAGGAAGCATAAGAGCAAATAAGAATAAATAGTGAGAGAAACAACTAATATTTATTTATTGCTTACACGTGGCAGGCTATGTTCTAAGTGCTTTGCATATAAGAACTCAATCTTTACAACAATCCTCTGAGGCAGGTACTGTTGTCTGTTCTCATTTAACATGTAAGGAGTCTGAGGCACAGCTTCTCAAAGTCACATAGCTAACAAGGGTCAGAGCCAGATTCAAACCCTGGCAGGTTTGCCCCAGAGCTTCACCGTTCTGCTGCTTCTACAGGAAGGAAGGAATAAAGGCCGAGACCCATCAATATCGCAATTTAGAAAAGCTACTTGGAGCAAATCTCATTTGAAAAACATGAACACACAAGTCCTTCTGAGCCCCTGCTGTTGGCCCAGCTCCCACAGGCCTGTTAGGAAGACCGTGAGGACTCAAAGGGCACCCAGCCTCCCAGCGGCTGCAGGGGCCAGCGTTGGGTGGCTAGCCATTCCGACAGAGCCCAGTGGCAGTAGAGATAAGCCAGGACGGTTGCCAGTTTCCATACTCCTGAAAAAGAGGCTCTCAAATCCGGGCTAATCAGGTCTCTTTTTGGTGAATTTCATTAGAAATCACCATCTAAAAGAGAAGGTGTTTATCCTGAGTTATCCATGAGGGGGAAATGATTTTTTTTTTTAACTCAACTATTTTAGTAGCAGGAAAAGTTTGAATGATACCACCAGGGGCTCCAAAGAACTTTTGTTTCCAGAGAGGTTAAAATGTGTAAAGTATCCAAAGCATACACTTTTGCAGCTGAACTTAGGATATTTAGGAACATTGCTTTACCATGTTTCCTGGTGATCACTGAAAGTAAGCCGTACATGGGTTACATCTAGGGCAGGGATTGCCAACGTCGGCACTGCTGACATTTCAGGCTGTGTAATTCATGGTTGTGGGGGGCTGTCCTGTGCATTGTGGGATGTTTAGCACCATTACTGGCCTCTGCCCACCAGAAGCCAATGAGACTACCCTCTTCCATCGCAACAACCAAAAATGTCTCCAGGCGCAATTGAAAGTATTTATAAACAGACTGTATATTTAATAGCAAAATATGAATGTGATCATGTCCTTGTCAGAGGGAGAGGGGCCAAAGGAACAGCTATAACAATATTGCCTTAGCTGATTTGGCTCAGTAGATAGAGCATCTGCCTGTAGACTGAAGGGTCCCGGGTTTGATTCAGGTCAAGGGCACATGCGGGAGTTGCGGGCTCAATCCCCAGTAGGGGGCGTGCAGGAGGCAGCCAATCAATGATTCTCTCTCATTGATGTTTCTATATCTCTCTCTCTCCCTCTTCTTTCCTCTCTGAAAATCAATAAAAATACATTAAAAAACAACAACAACATGTTGTTGGTGATAGTAAATTGGTAATACTGTTCTTATTATTACTAGTAGCTGCTACTACTGTTATTAGTGTCGAGGACAGTGCTAAGATTAACATACGTAATCTCATTGAATCCTCACAACAGCCCTCAGGGGAAAACCAATCATGCCTATTTCACAGACAGGGAAACTGAGTAACTAGGTCAAGATCACACAGCTAGAAGCATCAGAGCCTACATTCTTTCTAGTTCCGCCCTAGTCTGAGCCAGTTCTTTTAACACTATTCTTCCTCTCCGCACGCGATCATCACTCGAGCCTCAGGCTATATCCATCGATCTGCCCACCACCAACTCTTGCTCATCCTTTAAGTTTTGACCTGCTTCCTCCAGAACCTCCTAGATTCCTGCCTTCACCCTCTGACCTCCTGTGCTCCTGTCACAACCTGTTCATCCTTTTATTTTTTTAATTGCATTTTCTGTATAACATCATCTGTTTGTGTTTGTCTCCTTTTCAGTGGGAGAACCTTGAGGACAGGAGCCTATCTTATTTATCTCTATCTCCAGTGCCTTGTTTATAGGCATACAGTAGGAGCCCAATAATATGGGCTTTCTACTAAAAGCTCTGTAGTGAGAGAGATCAAGGAACGTAATTACTTCTGTGTGTGTTAAAAGAGATAGGGAGTGAAAGTCCAGAGACCTGAGGGAGTCAACAAGAGGAAAAGAAACTTACCCAGATGGTGCAGTTGGAGGGTAGGGTGGGGCAGCAGGGAAGGGTCCTAAATCCAAAA